TACTAGAGAGGGTAGCACGTACTCCGCGGCAGGGTTGCCATGTTTACAAGAGCTCCTGCTGTGACGCACCGCATTAACCGAAGTGCGAAAAACAATACCATCCGTAACTCCATGTTTCCTCTATATATACCAGGTGTCACTGGAAAAATACGGACGGCGCGAAACATCTATGCTTGCTGACTAACCGCTGCATCAATGGATGTCATTCACTTACCGGAGTTGAATGGGACGACTTAATCAATGGCTAAGGTAAGCGGTTGGAAGGTGGTACACGAAGCCAATGCTTAAGGCGGAGCATGAGAAACGGGTGTTGAAAGCCACTTAATTGGTTGTCAGCATACCGGTGTAAGGTACAAAATAAGCCAAGCCTCCTGGTAGCTAGCGGCGGTAAGGCACGGTGGAACCGTGGACCGGGAGAAGACGTGTGTAGTATGGACTTGCGTGACACGCGCAAGCTGGGTAACTTACATGAGGTGAACCTGACGCGAAAAGCATTGGCTCATTAGTAGAGGAGGCGCGATGGCACTACCGGAGAAGGAATCAGGGTGGCGGATGTCTAATGATGGTCCAAAAGGCACCTAATTGTATGCTGTGCACGGACAAGAATTCATGCGGTCGGAACGCTCAATGGATCTTTGTAGGTGGATGTCATTTGGGATTGACCATTGGCGGTGCACAGCGGCACATGCACACTAACGGCCTGAAAATTACGCTACTGTATATTATTCACTTACCGTATATGCATCGGATGAACAAATGTAATGTTCATGGTATTCGGAGGCTGTGTGGTGCGGATGCACCTTCAAAGTGGCCGCACGTTTACTAGTGGCGTAGAAGCCACATGTTTTGTGCCTGCGCGATTATCAGAGGTAAACCAGATGACCTGGATACTGGAATAACGTTAACAAAACGAATTCCAAGGTACGCAAACGCTTCCAAACGATGGACTACTTTACATGGAGTAGGCGTACCACGTGACACCCATAGGTGAGATTTCATGAATGTGCCAAGCACCACGGCATAACTTAGTATTGGCATGCAGATGCATTGGAAGCTGCTAAAAAGCAGACAATTCCCATTGTTTATATGCAACCAGTTATGATGCCAATAGAAATCTTTGTTCATTCACTGTAGCGCGGAACCTTAAGCCGTCCGCGAAGATTAGTGGTAGCAGTCCCAGGGCAGTTTGGTCCATCAACTAGGTTGGGAACATCGACACCAATTTGACCAAAGGTTGTTTGGCTTGATGCGAGTGGTAGTAAACAATGAACATCTCAAGGTGCACTTCCACCGTTAAAAGCAATGCCTGGCGCCGGTGCTCTACCCGAGACCGGCTGTGAGCATTTGCTCATGGATCTGCTGTTTTAAAGACACAAGACCATCTATCTCGCGTGGGACTCTGAAGAGTACGGGGTTGCGACGGAGTTAGTTTAGCACTTAACTCAATGGTATGACTGACTCTAAAGGCATTTAATAAATGCCAACCAGCCTATTTACTGTTTCTGTTCAGAATAGACAAAGCTTGCTTGGCGGGTGCACTGCACTGCGGCCCACCGCAAGATCCCAATGGAGACTGCAAGGGCATGCAGAGGAGCATGAGTTATTTGGACCGAAATTCTGTGGGCTTAAGCAGCGAAACGAAACACCGGAACAACACCGTTCGGTCAACCAATTACTGTCCACAGTCTCAGCAGTAGCAGTCCCCGCTGTATAGGTCACGTGAAATAAGGAAGATGTAAAAAGTGTCAGATAAAGAGGAAGGAAAGTAATTTAACTAAAGGATAACAGCAAAGGCTAAGGAGGTTGACAGAATGATGGGACCTAAAACAAACACCGCACCACACACTATCCAACAAATTAATGCCTAGGTATAGCCTGCCCTAGCAGTCCATGCTGGGCCTGTTAAGTAAAGTAGGAAAGAATAAAGTTAGAAGGCAGAAAGAGAAAGTGGAAAAAGCTAATCCAGTAAAAGCCAAAGATATCCGAGTCATTAAAAAAGAACTGAAAAGTGAAGGTGAGTCAGTTAAGAAAAGGAAAGGCCTGGTGTTGTCACCAAGGACCATTGAATTGGTGTGCGAAACCCTTAACCCTAGGTTCACTAAGCACTTGATCTGGAAGCGAATTTCAGCGATCTACAGCTCGGCGCGATAGAAGAGTTTCCATCCTAATCCAATCAGATCGTGGTTTATGCAGTTTCAGTGGGTGACAACGGAGGTTGGGTATCGTAGCGAGGCTAAATAGCCCTGACAAGTCCGCGCCGACCTTACTCGTCAAAATACGTTAAGTGAGAACCAGGTCCCCTCACATCCGTCAGTAATTCATTGAGTACATCCTCTAGCTGAGCAAACGTTAAGGATACGCCTGTACCCCTAGAACTTGCACCAACCGGATGCCCACTCATAACACCTTCTCCAAGTCCATTTTGTCTCCGTTAAGACATGGTGGACAAGCCTGGATACCATATGCCAGGTAAGGTCAGACGCATGCCGTGAATAGCTTCACAAACAAGTTGGCCGTTAGGATTCCGAATGTTCGGCGGATGAACCACAACATACGAAACCTCGACAAGCGCCCTACTTAAAAGGTTGTCAGAATGAAGTGCTGATGAATATACGACCCCTAAATCAACCTGCTGAGGGACAGTAGGTGGTTCCACACCGCCGATAACAAATCGAGTGGGAGCAATCGCAGCTCCGATTGGGTTAACAGAGTACTAGGCCCTATTTATGGGCATCAGTCTTGAGGTAGACCCTTCAAAGAGCCCAGCCACCGCACCCTGAATTACCTCAAGACCCCCGGGATATCCACAATATTCCGGACCTTAAGGTCGTCAGCAAACATTGGACGCGCAATTCCTAGCTCTCCCGGCAAGTCAGCTCATTGATGGAGGACAACAATAGCTCCAATACCAAGCCCTGCGGGACGCCATTACGGACAGCTTGGCTGAGCGAAAGATTACGCCCCATCCGTATGCACTTTTCACTCCCCTCAAGGAAGTCAGACATCCATTGAAGAGCGCGACCGGATATCCCTTAAGATCTCAAATTTAGCGTGGGTCGAAGATAAGAAACAGTGTCAAACTCTTTCGAAAGGTCCACGAATAGCACGCCCACAGCGTGGCTACTGTCTTCCGCTGCGGCCCAGCTTTTACGAGCTACAAGTATATTAAAGTGACATAAAAGTCCCTTGCAGGGTCCATGTTACGCAACACTGTGAAGGTTGAATCTATTCAGGTGGTTCTCCATTGAATCCCTTTTCAGCTTTTCAGACAACTTGGGTATTACGCTTGTCAAACTGACGGGCCTGTGGTTAGCGGGCAGAGCGCTGTCACCACCCTTAAATATCGGGCAGATGGTTGCCTGCTGCCATTCCGAATGTAGGATGCAGCTTTCAAGCCATATTGAGAGTACACATGTGAGAGGACCACTCAGCTCAGTGGCCAATCCATGCAACAGCTTCGGGTGAATTGAACCAGGACATGTAGCTTTAGAGGGATTAATGCCTTGCAGTAGCTCGAAGACCTGAGTCTCCGTTATGGTAATCGCAGCTAAGCCCGAATCCTCCAGAACCCTTGATACCACTACAACCAATGGTAAAGTGGTCTCCAGCTCAAAGACCCCATTATACCGACTACTAGTATACAAGCCTTGTCTTACTGGATTCGCGCACGGGTCCCATCTGCTCGTAGAAATGCTGGTATAGGCAGGTTTGCCCCGTTGCGTCGTTTAACGCAGGCAAAATACTCCAAGGGATTAGCTAAGGCCGAGCAGAACTATCTCGCACCTCTTATACCTAAGGTTGCGTACATTGCTTAGCACTATCTGAAGAATTTGCAATGTCCAGCCCTTGGTCCTGCGCTACCAGGACTGGCATTTCTAGGGCGGAACAAGACGGTCGGCTGAACACACAAAAATCCATCAACCGTAGACCTACTTCACCAATTTCTCGCGCAGTTTTGATGTTCTTAATGGCCTCGTTTAGCTGCAGCCTGTCCACTAGTGGAGGTTTGGTTGAACGATAAACTTAATACCCTTCAGTATGAGGGCAAACTGCAACAGCTTGCTGTGTTCATCCGGGGTGGAAAGGACTACTCGAAATACGCGCGCACGAGAGTTTGGGGCACTAACTGGTTTTAGCCAATCTAGTCAGTTTCCTGACAGTAATAGCGGGAAACCCAGGCGGAGGGAGCATGTTTACGCATCTCTTAAACCGCTGTAGGACATTAACCGTACTTTCGGCAGGAAGCGCGGCAGTGGATTCCACTGCGTTACGGAATATCACGCAGCTGTACTTAACATGCACAGCGGCCAGCTAGGCTGCAATCTACGAGACTGGGCGAAGTTTACAGACGACGCCGGAGCAAATGTAGCATACGTCTTATGCTCCAGCAAGCCGCACATAAACGGTAGGGGCCACACTAGTATCGTCGACTAAAGTTTCCTTGGAGTTCATAGTATTAGACAATGGTCGAGGTTTGTTTCTCGTGCTTAAGCACCCATTGCTTTTCACAATATTTTCACCAAAACGCCCAGTTATATGCCATGCCCGAAAGTACACTTACAGCGTCGAGGCCGGTACCGAAACAAGTGGTCATGGATTCTACTATTGAAAACCAGGTGTGCATGCAATATCATGTATGGCTTTCCACGGGGCTTCGCACTTGGAATACATGCGGCGGCGATTCCCATCCTGGTACGGGAAACGCTCAGGCTGCGGAGTCACCAACTAATACCTGAAATCTACATGGCCTTGCGAACTCATTATTATGCATCGCAACGTTCACTTTCTAAGCACTTTTGTGGCGAGCTTAAACCCCACGGTAAAACACAACATTATCATTCAACATGATGAAGTTGAAGCAAATAAACCGCATCATTTGACTGCTATTTCAAACAATGCACAATATGGGTGAAATGCGTGTATAGTTTATTCAACTGCAAATGATTCCTTTTAATGTCAGCATTCCATATCAAGTTATTTAATGCTTATTCAAGCAGTGCTCATTATTTTGACTGGTGTACCCAAACGCAACGCCTCCGTAAGGCTATTTTTCCTTACAAAAATTTGCCATTCTCTTAGCATTTCCGACTGAGAATGAGCGACAGCGTAAGTATTCGCCAACTTTCATCAGTTTGCTCATTCTTTTTTACAATTAAGCGGAGTACCTTTTTATTTTGAGTATCATGTATCCTATCTTTACTTTGTCACTATGGATAAAGACCTACTTATCATTCCGTTCCACTGTAGTCTTTTTCATTGTAATCATTGTATTGTAGAGAGCAGAAGGAAAGACCTATGTCAGCTCCATCACCTCCCAATCATAGCAGGTGTTGGCGCAACCAATTAACAAGTTAACTTGTCAGTTACATAAGAAACAACAAGATCCCTGCAAATTCAAGAGGTATAAATCCAACAATCGTTTAAAACATTCCTCCGTATGCGCGTTGACGACAGAATTAGGCAAACAGTTCCAGTCGTTCACCACACGAGTCGATAGTGTAAAATCAGAGCGAAGCCTGAGTCTACTAGGTTTAAACAGTTTCCAGCAGTGGCCCCGAGTCGAACACTCAGTGTTAACTTGGGAGAAACCTTGGAGCTCCTTTCCTATCTCGCCTCGCAGAATGCGCCGAGCGTAGATCAGATCGCCTCGGCAACGCCGATATTCCAGGGAGAACATATTCAAATGCTGGAGACGAATGTGATATGGCAGTTGTCGGAACTCAAAGGTGTACTTAGAACCGCGTGGCTGAACTTTTTCAATCAATCCATGTTCAAGCTTTGTAGGTAGATGAACTGCGGGTAATCCATATTCGAGGATTGGACACACATGGGAGGAAAAGATAAGTCTGATGATCTCCGGCATCAATCGTGAGAAGGTTCTTCGGATAGAACACAGTAGTCTGTTAGCCGCAGCAACCTTTTTCAAAGTATCTTGGGTGGTTTTTAGATCATAGCATACTATAACACCAAGGTCTCTTTCCTGTTTCACATTATTAAGCAAATAACCACCAACGTGGTAAACACCGAACGGTTCAGTAGCACCAATGGGGAGTACAGAAAATTTATCGCGATTTATAGGCAAATTTCATTTAAGTGGCCAATCGTGCAGCCGATCCAGTGTATTTTGGAGGCGGTCAGCATCCTCAGCGCTGGTTACCTCCATCCATAACTTCAAATCGTCTGCATAGATCAAGCATTCGGTCCGGAGGGTTGAAGGAAGGTCGTTAATGAAGAATTTGAACAACTCTGGTCCAAGAACAGAGCCCTGAGGAACGCCACTGCTCATAAGGACGGAGGGTGAATACGTATCGTTGACCTTAACTCGCATAATTCGGTCTGAAAGGAAATCCGAGATCCACGACAAAACCCTTCCAGAGACACCAATTGCTTGAAGTTTGAACAAAAGCCGCTCGTGAGGAACTTTGTCAAACGCTTTGCTGAAATCTACGTAGATAACATCCATACGTTTGCCAGCATCCATTGAGTTCGCCCATTTCTCCCTGGAAACTAACAAATTGGCGGTACACGAGCGTGACTTACGAAAGCCATGCTGAGCAGTAGAAATCACATTCCGGTCGTCGAAGTAAAGGCTGAGAGCTCCCTTGAGAATCCGTTCCATAATTTTACACATTACGGATGTTAGGCAAACGGGACGATAGTTTGCTGGGTCTTGGCGCTTCCCTCCTTTAAATATGGGCTTGACAATACCCAGCTTCCAGGCTGATGGAAGGCGCATCGGAAGGTGCATCGAGATAGTTTTATGGAGAGTCACTTGTTGAATATTTGTGGTATATATTCTGTGGCGTCCAAATGCTTGTCTTGTACTAAAGGTCTCGCCTCTCGTTAAAAGCCCGTACAATGCTCTGCATGTGACGTCTGAATGCATATCGCTTGTTGTGGCATCGGTCCTGATCAGTACGACTCACTGCAGCTGATGACTTTTTCAGCTATTGTTTTCTTTTACGATGGCTGCCGTACCTCCTTAAACAACCGACGTCTTGTGAATGCGCTGTTCTCGCTCAACCCTCATGCCACTCCAACCAATCTTAAAGCAAACTCCACCTAGAACCACCTGGTTACTCATCATTCTCCCCCTTCTGCCTCCGCACTAACCTCCCACACAGGTAAGCAGAGTCGTGTGCCGTCTGATTGTCGGAGCCCAAAACCAACATACGTTGCGGTTGTAAGGAAAAGCCTCACCGCTTCTGGTGTATATTCAGGCTATGTATAACCCTCACTAAGTCAAAGTCTAAATCTAAGCCTTCCTCTTACTTTACAAGATAAATTAGTTGGAAACTCTGGTCAAAAACAGCGCAAATCCTCCTCGACCACACATCCCCAGTCGTGCCCAACCACCCTCTCGTAACCGATATCTCACCATCATGAACGCGCCTGAATCGACCAAAGATACCCCAGCCGGAAGGATGTTAGGCGACCAAGTGTTCCTTAAAGGACTAATCACTGTTTTGTTCGACGAAGACGAACGGGGAATCAACATTATCCCGGCCTTCCGCTTGGCTAGGAGACAATAACGTTCCATCAAGGCTCGCCCCCTTAAGACGAGGAAGAATGTCGGCGCATTCTCCTACGGACCCCACGTCTCAAAGGCGAGGGAGATCTCCCCCGAAGGATTGGATCCAAATGGAAAAAGCTGTTGTGGAGCTGAGGCCCCTGTTGAGAAAAGGTGTGCCTGATAAATATGTAAACATTATCAAAACGCTGTACGCGCATAGTTCGGGCAGTGTGAGGGTTTATGGCAAACTGTCGCCACCCTTCAGTATCACCAGCGGTGTGAGACAAGGTTGCCCGTTGTCACCTTTCCTCTTCAACTTCGCTATTGATGAAGTCATGGAAATCGCGTTTACAGGACGCGACCTAGAAGGTGTAAAGCTACTTCCTGGTGAGCGACTTCGGTTTTCGAACCAAAATCTTTGGTTGAGAACCCTAATCGTTCTGCTATCTAGACCTGGGCAAACTGACAGTATCCTGACAACGCAATCCTATGAATCTTTTCTCACACAATTTCCTGATGCTCTGCCCACCGCAGAGGATAATCAACGGTGCCCTATCTGCTGCACCGGAAAGGGTGGATAAGGGTTTGGATGCTACTGCTCAAGCCTTCCCGTCTTCTTATTCCCCCCTTGCGCTTTTTCATCCTTATCGTCCCGTTCCAGCTTCACTTTTATCCCCCGTTTTCAACCCCCCAATTTTCGGCCCTCTCCCACGTTACTTCAATAGTCGCTTGCCTTTTAGTTTCAACGCACATGTGAACGCGGTGCGTCATTCCTGCCCTGTCAACAGGCCCATGTCCAAGCAAGCGGCCCATTCCAGTTCATCGGCTTCCATTTGGAGCCCTCCATCCTCCTTCAGACTGGCATGCCTCAATGCTCGAACATTGCTCCAGATCGGTCAACAGGCAGCACTTGCCCGAACATTAGCGACCCTATCGGTCGATATCTGCTGCTTATCGGAGACCTGCCTGCAAGACTCGAGCTCTGTGATCACTCTACGATCCCCTTCAGGTGACACTAGCAGCACTTTCTCATTGCGTCTATCCGGTGACGATGCAGCTTCGAGCACCGGCCAAGCCGGTGTTGGTATTGCCCTGAGTCCCCGGGCTGAAACTACTTTGGTTGATTGGATTCCAATCAGTAGCCGGATGTGTGCGGTCTGATTGGCTGGTTCGTTCAAAGCTTCGAAGTCACGTGGGACTAACAGGTGTCTATTCGTTATCGCTGCCTATGTGCCGACAAACTGTAGCGATGACTGTAAAAGACGACTTCTATCGTCAACTGAACGAGCTCCTTAGCCACAGAAGAAGTTCGGACACTGTAGTGCTGGCTGGGGATATGAACGCACAAGTTGGAAAGTTGTCCACTGATGAGCTGCATGTGGGCAGCCAACATGGTATAGGCTCCCGTAATGATAACGGTGAGCGGTCACTTCATTTGTGTGAGGATGCTCGCTTATTTCTTGCGAGTATTAATTTCCGACACAACACCCTCCAAAGGGTGACTTGGCGCCCACCAGCCTCGAACCAGCTATGGACGCAAATCGATCACATTGCGATACGTTACCGATGGAGAGGCTGCATCCAGAAATGTCGCTCGATTTGGAGCACAGGTGTGGACACCGACCATGCACTTGTATGTGCTGACCTTCGGATGCGTTTTGGCGGACGCCGACGACGTCGTTGTTACCGCATTGACACCAGCCAACTGGCGAAGCCAGCTGTTCTGAACGCGTATCAAAGTACGCTGTCATGCGAGTTGGATAAACGCTGACTGGATGCAATTGAAGCTCACTGGTCTCATATTCACCAGACCTTACTAGCAGCAGGAAAATCCTCATGTGGTGTGTCTAATCGCCAACATGGACATTGGGTGTCTTCACAGTCTCTGGAACTTATCGATGCTCGCCGGCATATACCGGCTGGAAGCGAACACAATGAAACTCACAAAGAGCTCCGGGCAAAACTTCGTGCTAGCCTGAAGAGAGACTGCGAATCCTGGTGGTCTCATCGTGCATCAGAGATGGAAATGGCCGTTGCCGTTGGTAACCATCGTAAGTTATTGCGTCTGATACGGAAAACGGGCAGCAGGAGACCTGGAGTTAGTGAAACTATACGTGACGAGAGCGGACAGCCTATCCACAACTTATAAAAGCGCTTGGAACGTTGGGCTGAGCACTTTAAAAGGCAATTTAATCGGTCAGAATGGTTCGATTGCTCCCCGGCCACTGATTGCTCTGCTCCCTGGGCTGTTCCTTTGAATCCACCCTATCGCTCAGAAGTCGCACGTGAGATCGGACTGTTGAAGTTAAATAAAGCTGCGAGACCAGATGATCTTCCTCCAGCCCTCTTCAAATTCGGGGGACCTGCTCTTATGGATGATTTACACGAGTTACTAGTCAAACTGTGGGAGCAGGAAACTGTCCCAACCGATTGCGGCCGTCAGCCCCAATTTTCAAACGAGGCTCACGATCGGAATGCGACAACCATAGAGGAATCAATCTGATCTCCATCGCCTCCAGATTGCTTGCCTCTGTCATCCTTCACCGACTGACTGGCACTCGTGAAAGCCAGATTCGTGAAGAGCAAGCTGGAT